TGCTCACCCCTGCTTTGTATACACATAAATAAAAATTTTAAAAATAAAAATAAAGTAGAATAATTATATGGAACTACTCTGATATGCGCTCGCAAGTCGCCAAATTTCTCGCCAAACATTTTTGGCGAGAAACTCCATGGTGCCATATATTATCTAAATTTTTAGTCTACATTTCGAACTTTACGCCTAAAATGTCTCCAAAAACGTGGTTTTCGCACATGCAAAATATAACATATAAACACACAATTTAAGCTATTTTGAACACACAATTTAAGCTAAAAATCTGAAACAAAAACAAAAAATTTAGATAACAAAAACGTAAAGTTTCTAACTAAAAATATGTGACAAGAATCCATGTACACAGCGATATGTTTTAACTTAAAAAAATCTACGAATTGCAAAATATAGGCAGTGAAGGAATCTACGAACTACGCACACCTCGCTTTAATAAATTAACATAACAATAATAAATTTCAAAGAATACCATGTACACAGCATTCTGTTTAAACTTTAAAAAAAATCTACGAATTGCACAATTTAGGCAACGAACGAATCTACGAACTACTCACACCTCGCTTTAATAAATTAACATAACAACAATAAATTTCAAAGAATACCATGTACACAGCATTGTGTTTCAACTTTAAAAACCATCTACGAATTGCACATAATCTAGACACTACGCACTAATCAACAAAATAAACTAAAATAAATTTCAAACAATTCAAAAAAGCAACAATAACGAAAGAAATTCATACTAAAAAAACAATGAACATAACATTCTACAAAATAAGAACAAGAATAAAATAAAATGCACTTACCATGAATTAATGCTTTTTCGAACAGCAGAAATACCAATTTCATACCGCCTTTAACATGCTGCCACGTAATCACTGGCGTATTTATATGACAGCCAGACACACTATCCAGAAAATTCATACTTTGATTCACAAATAAATAAAATCACAAATCCCTACTTCTATCATGCACAGCCACTAAAAATAGTCTCCCAGACCCTCTTTCCACTCTTCCAAACACCCACTGCCCCTCAACAGGATGGCCACAATGATATTTCCTTTTGCCGAACTTTAGTTGAATAACTTCCACCATTTTCTCTTTCCCCCCTATCTTCTCAGACACAGATGCGAACCAACGAGCTCCAGCGAAAGATTTTTCAACGTTAACAGGGTTGCCATAGAACACGCAATCGTGCCAGAAAATCAGCGTAGAACACATATCACCACATTTGGTGAAATTAGGGCGTATATCAGAGTTGTACCTAATTATATATATATATTATAATTTAAAGTGAAGTAGAAAGAACAAACGATAAAAGACCTATGTGGTCAAAATATATATATAATCTTAAATAGTTAAGGAATTTAAAAACCTATAAAATGCTGTTAAATACTTGAAAGTAACCTATCTTTTTTTCTAGAAACACGTTGTAAAAAGAAAATATTTAAGAGTTATACATTTTATGAACTAAAAAAATTATACAGCAGGAAAAATGGGAAAAATCGGAGTACAAAAACTTTTGTTAATCTTTTTTGTTCAAAGTTTCACACAGAAGGAAAACTGTTTTGAAGCTTCAAAAGATGATTAACTAAACCAACGTAAACATGTTTCGTTTCAACAAATTCACAGAGACCTCAAACGGTTTAATCGAACGCAATATTCACGTTTCAACAAATTCACCGAGACTTCAAACGGTTTAATTGAACGCAACATTCTTAATAAACCTAAACTAATTAACAGTCTCATTAAATTTGTCTCTTTTCTAGACATGTTTCCGTTGTCTAAGCCACTTAAGTACTAAAGTTCTAAAAGCAATTACTACAAATTAAAAAAACTTAAAATTGAAACTTATAATTTAAAAGGAAAATCCTAAAATATAAATGGCCTAACAAGGCTAACGATCAAATTACAAGGTAAATGCAAAAGAATAAAAATAATCAAACAATTTTCAGATAGGAAAATTAAGTTGAATGTCCTATGTAAATGCAAAAAAAAAAAAAAACAAGGGCGGTCTCGACTGCGTAAATTTTAAAAAAAAAAACTTTTATCTTATAAATCTGGTCAAAGTTATAAACCCGTGAAAGTAAAAAATGAAAGGAGCAATTTTGCTCCAAAAGGAAAAATGTTTTAAACCTAAGCACAAAAAATCCTACCTTGCAGTTAAAGCGAGCTCCGGCAGCATTTTTAAGCTGTGAAAATTCCTGACGTGTAAAGGTTGCCAAAATTCGACGAGCCCAACAGAAGGGCTACCAGAAGTTGGAAACAGTCAACTTCAACAAATAGCAGGGCGTTCAAATCTGAAGCAAGTCTTCCTAATCTTTTTGCTATGCTAATGGAGGCTTCCGATAATAAGGGGCCACAGGGGGGGGGTCGTAATCAGAAGTAATCAGTCAGAATATGGCGTTGTTTTAAACCTTTTTGTTCTAAAAGAGAACTATACGAAACGGCTAAATGTCATATATATAATTTATTTTCTAGTAGATTATTGAACACATTATCTCCTTCGAAAAAAGTAGTTACAAATCTATTGAATAGAATTTACTAATTAGAATAATTAAATGGAATAGTTAAAAGTGAATGTGTAGCCAACAAACTAAATAATTATAGTCATTGACCGGAAATTATAACTAATACTCGTATAACACAGTAGATAGGTTCCTAGAAAATGCTGTGTTGTGCAAGTGCGTTATGTTCAGGGTGAAATCTTAATTCAAACTAAGTTAGTTTTGGTTCGCAGTGGCTAATCGCACCGACGGTGCGAATAGCTAACAGGCTATTCCCACCACCTACGTTCGCGCATGCGCACAATCAACCCAGGTATCAGCATTTTACGCCGATTTCCGTAAGGCAGGTGGTAGTGAGAGCGAATGTTGTTAATAGTTCACCAGCAAGAGAATAATTTGTAAATAATAATTATCTGTTACAAAGACGAGGTCAATCTATATACATGATAATGTTCAGGAAATGATTAGATAAAATAGGGATTTAATGATGGTTCTAATTGCAAGCGAGGACGAGTAATTAGTTAAAAAATCTTTAGTGTACTGATAAAAAGGCTATAGAAATTACTTAAATTCTATTTAACAGAGGAATTTTTATGCAAACTTAGACCCTATTCTTATAGCATAGGACTGTCAGAATTCATTATTCAATAAGCAAACTTGCTGAAAATGTTAATATTCTTGTATATTCATCACTTTTTCAGTATCCACACAGGTTTATAGGTTCAAATGCCATATTTCAAAATCAAAGTTATTTATGAAATAAAACCTTACAAAATCTGATAAATCATTTGTGTGTGCAAATGTTTAAATCTAAATGTCTTACATTAAATTATTTCTGTCTTTTAAATTCCATCCCATTATTTATTTCAATTTAATTGATTAATGTGTTTGTACTAATATTTCAAAGTTCTTTGAAACACTTTTTGTGTCCTGAAAATGCCAAGTATTTCCATAAAAAAAAAATTAGCAGGCATACAGAATAATTCATTTAATAGTTGATATAATCGCTTTTAACTTATTTCATTTCTAAATTTTCTACACAGAAATCCTCTGTCTAATTTTTAGTATCTTTTATCGGACGACATTTTTCAAAGAGGAATGAATTAAAGTCTTGACTGCGCAAAACACACCTTTAAAGCTAAATGTATTTTAAGAAGTACAAAAAATGTGAACAAGATTTTGTCCCCCCCCCGACAAATCAGATATTTAAACTGTTCAAACCGTTCAGGGAAAGGATAAACATTGAGAACATAAAAATCTGCTCTTTTTTATACATACTTTAATAAAAAGAAAATGTGTTCCTTCTTTTTATAAGAAAAGGAACCCATTTTCGTTTCTAAACTTTTGAAAGTCGCCAACGCTTAAAAAATGATAAACTACGCCAAGGTAGAAACCCGCCTTTTTTTAAAAAAATGATTCACTACAGCAGTTCGCGTACGTAGAATCCGTTCCTTTCGATGGGGTTCAATTGACGGATCTGACAACTCAATGCGCATGCGTGATTGATGTTGGTGCGAATAGCTTAAGCGTCTATTCGCACCGGCGGTGCGAATAGCATCGGCCGTTTTGGTTCTCAGTGCATTTTGATTTGATAGTTAATATTACTGTAAAATTACTATTGGCTGCTTGGGTTTTAGTTCCATTTACATCATCAGAATTATGTAAGAGTCATATGACATGGATTAATCTAGAAATGACGCAGTGCAGAGAGTTACTATTTAGAATTGAGAAGGGATATTTACCTTGCTAATTTAATCTTTTACATATTCTTTATTTTCTTACATAAATATATAATATATATAATTATTCTTTATCTTAATTCTTTTAAATTAGATTTATCGTTGAAGACTATTTACTACTGTGAGGGAAAAAATTTTAATTGGGTTTTTAATCTAAATGGAAAATTGGAATTCTGAGGAGGCGTTGGTGTTTAAATATTTATTAAAACTCTTTTATACATATTTATCGATATTCTTCTACATATGCAATTATGTTATTATAAAATACAATTTTTATAACAGTATAATTTCTGTTACTTTCATAGCCTCATTTTTTTTTTTTTTTTTTTTTTTTTTTTTTTTTTGTTTCGTGGCGGAAGGGACCATGCAACAAGGATCCAAAATAGATGTGTTCACTGGTCTTATCCACTGGATTCTACTGAGCTTTATAATTTGGTAAAATATTATTAACTATCACATTAAATAAGGGGATGACAAAGTACAATTTAAAACACTCGAAAGAATTTTCGCAAGATACTCATAATAAAAATGGATATGTTTCTGAGAAGCAATTTTAACTGTAGAATAATTGTTAAAAAAAGCGAAAAATGTCATAAAGTACGGTATTTTAAACGGCTATCAACGTAACGCGCATTGGATGTAAGCCAAAATACGACACCCCATTAGATTGTAAAGCCAGTCTAGAAGCCTGATCGGAGCCAGACTTCTTATAAGCGGCAGTTGAAGGATTTGAATTTGGCAACAGTGCCTTTGTTGATATGAGAAGTGAAGTTAGTTTTGTATTTATGTGATGTATTATGGTAAAAGTAAGAATTTGGGTTTCTTTTTTAGAATTGTAATGAATATTAATCCAAATATAGCATATATTGCAATGTTTCTAGTAGCAGTTTTCCCACAGATTTATTCTGTGACTGTATCAAATAAAGCAGAGGTTCTGAGTGGATTGGACTGGATTTATTTATTACCAACTAAAAATGTGAGGGCAGTCTTCATTTGAAGGAGAGGTGATTACAGTAAATGGTATGTAATACTGAATAATAAATTGTTTCAAGAAACCGTCAGTGTTGAATGTGTAATAAAAACCCAATTAAATGTCGTTAATTCCTTATTTGTTAGTGCCGTGGCCCTGAAGCTCATCAATTAATCTCAGCATATTTCCTTTTCAAGTGTTTCATGAAAATAATTTTCTGCATTACATTTCGCGCGAATATGCCCTGACGTATGTATAATTATGATTTTAAATTAAACCTTTGCCATCATAACAGAAGTTTATTCTTGATTTTCAGAATTTTTTCATTTAGAATGACATGAAAATATTACAGTGCAAGATATTTTGCATGCCGATTGTTATGATAATTTTCTGGTGGATGGCTATGGAGACGTGAATTAAAATGCATCCTTTGCACAATATGGTTAACGGCGTTTAATAAGCTTCTTAATAATGCATATTTTAACTCAATTTCTACATACTTAAGCTATTCTGTTTTTTAAAAAAAGTAGTTCGACTTTTTTTTTATATTTCTAGGGTTTTCCATATGTATTGACTACTTTCTTGAAAACAAATTGGGCTTTAGTGTAGAATTGGGTGCTCCTTCGATTGGTGACATTTTAAAAAAAATTTTGGCGATGTAACCTCACTTCTGGTTACCACGATAGTTTTAACTTTGTTTTAGCTTCCCAATTTTCCTTAAATGAAAATAGATTGATGTGTACATGGACATATTTAAGGCAGTGCACAATGCCTAGTTTGTGCAATTCTAGGATTTTTTTAAAGTAAAAACAGATCGATGTGTACATGGACATGGATCTTATGCAATTCTTCGACTTCTTATTTTGGTTTTGTGTAGCGGCCATCTTGAAATTGTGACTTCCTGGTGCCGATCTTGGCGTCAAAAAAGAATCGCCAATAAACAAGGGGCACCCAATTGTAAACTTTTACCACAAGTTCTTATGATGAATAACATTTGTGTGCTCTCTGTAATATAAATAACTAATTAAAATTTTCAAAGGGTTACTTACCCTGTAATCCTTCCAGTAGTTAAAAATTATTGTGAGCAATTTTTGGTTGATCTTTACATTACGGTAACTTGGCAAAAATTTGGCGACCAACTTCCCTACAGCAACCCTCTATTTTTTTTCCCCCGCCGCCATTTTGTCTTCACGAAGTAAAGACATGTTTCTTTTCTTCTTATCTACTGAACACTTCTTCCAACAATCTACTAGCCGAATTACACTTATGCTAGAAATTTTATGGAAAAAAACTGCTTAATCATGACAAATATTCACTGCAAAATTCCGAAAAAGTGCACAATACCATACACCTTACGCGTTTTTCAAAATAACACATACACATAAACCATGTACACGCCGACTTATTTTACTTAAAAAAACATCCCAGAATTGCACAAAAATGGCATTGCGCACACTCTTCACTATATCCATGTACACTGCTTTTTTTCTCATAAATTTGAAAAATTTCACGAAAATACATGACAATTTTCTCAATCTTTAAACCCTGGAAAAAGAACATATATGAAATTACCTGATCGCGAAAAAGTATTTACCCTTTACAAATATGAACATTTCCACATATAAAATAAATAAAATATCCAAAAACTTTTACCTCTAAATCATCTATTACATTATACACGTCACCAACGAATTCATACATGAAGCATTACAAATATTTAGTATCAAATATTTAAATTATTTCCATGCACATTTATTTCAACTTAAACATACACCAAATTCCTACAAGTATAAAATTCACAAAATAACTATCATTTCATTAAAATATAATTAAATTCAAAAACACCACTTAAAATATACATGAGCACATACATTCAATTAATAAAAATTACCTTACAATCCTAATTACTTTTAAACTAAATCATTGCTAATAACAATTTTTCCCAATAATACCAAATTCCTTTCCACCTTACATTTCCAACAATGCATAAAAATAATTAAAAATACTAACTTACCTAATCTCCTTCAGAATCTTCATTACGTGGCGGATACACTTTTCTTCATTCTCTTTCAGAATCTTTAAAATCATACTTATCTTTCAAAGCAAGATACCACGTAAAATAAATAACATAATAAAACATGTTTATTTCTCTCTCACACAACCTTAAAAAACATTTCTTACTATCCTTTTCAATACCACTAAATACCCATTTCGAATTCACTTTACTTACGGCCATGGGATCCAAAAATTCACAAACGCTATTTCACACAACACAGAATAAAGCCAAATACAAAATTCCCAGATTTTTCCCCATTAAAGAACAGTAATTCGTCCATTAAAATCACATGACATATCCCATGATCTCTTCCGATTAAAGAACCGTAATTCGTCCATTAATATCGCATGACATATCCCATGATCTCTTTCATTTCCCCCACACAAAATTAATGCGTAATCGGAACTCAGTACTGCTCACATTATTACCAAAGTCCCAGGTAGTAACCTTTATCGCCTCCAAAATGTCGCCAAACTACCAGTTACCGTAATGTAAAGATCAACCCAATTTTTTATTAAAACTTGCAGGGCTTAGTTTCTAAAAAAAATAGAAGTGCTAGAGTTCCGTGAAGAGCATCAAGAAAAAGGAATAAAAATAAATAAATAAAATAACTAACAATTAAAATTTAATGTAAATTTTTAAAAAATCTGAAGGCTTTCAGATTTTGTATTACAGATTATGTATTGTAATTTTTATTTTTTTTAAACATTCTGTGTGTTACCTTTATTAATTAAATATCATGTTCTTCGTACTTAAACCATATAATTGAATTCAACAACAGTATCACAAAGTAATTTAAAAAGAGCATATGTTTAGAATTTCCAATACACACTCTTGCATGCTGGAGATAATTTTCTTTTCTGCTGCGGAGTTACCATTGCTCGCTTTGATATTGTTGAGTTTGTTAATAAAAAATTTGTTAAAGTTTTACAAAATATGAAAAAATGCGAATTCATTTGCTGACTTTAGAAAGCATTTGCAAACTCGAACATTTATTAGTATCTTTACATCTATTTCAGCCATATGTCCAGTGCTGCCAGTTTTTTTACATTCTTTTTTCAACAAAGCATGCACACTTCTAAGTTTTTTTGTATTATTTTTCTCTTCGTGTACACAACAGTCTTCTTTGGTTAATCTTCGGATTATGGTAGCTTGGCGAAAATTTGACGACCAACCCTGCTACAGCAACCTGCTAGTTTTGTTTTGGGCGCTATTTTGTTTTCACGAAGTAAAGGTTTTTTTTTTTTTTCTTTTTTTCTCAACGTTTTTTCCAACAATCTGCTAACCTAATTACGCTTATACTAGAACTTTTATAGAACAAAAATGCTTAATCATGATGAAGATTAGGTGCGAAATTGGGAGAAAGTGCAGAATCGCAATCTGCTTGCAGCGTTTTTAAGAATTGCACATACACTGTATCCATGTACACGTCGACCTATTTTCACTTAGAAAAACATCCCAGAATTGCACAAAAATGGCATTGCGCACACTCTTGACTTTATCCATGTACACTGCTAAAGTCCTAGCTAGTAACCTTTATCGCCTTACCAAAATGTCGCCAAACTACGTGTTACCATATTCCAAAGATTAGCCTCTTTTTTATTACAGTGGTAATTCAACGAACTTGATACCATGCATAACTTCAGCACTAAAATACTAAAATGGGGTGGGAAGAGGCGTATAATGCTTTTAAGTGAGCCATATTATGCTGTACGCGTGTAGAAAGCGCACACTCAAGATTTTGCTGAAGGCGGTGAAAACTGCAGTATAGGATCCACCCAGGGTTTAATTTCTAAGATCAGGAGTGCGTGAGCCTTGTGCAAATAAAGAGGAACAAAAATAAATAAATAAAATAATTGAATAATTGAAATTAAATAAAATATAGAGATAATAGTTATATAATAAAATGAAATACCAGACTTCATGTTACTTGGGGCTCTGGCTGAAATTTCAGTTTCTTTCAAAAACCAAGAAATAGCTTAACTGTGTTCTAGCTGAATTTAAGCTGGGAATATGTGGTATAATTACTTCTCAAATTGGTTATAAAACCAAAATTATTCTTTTATCAGCACATCAATGAAAAAGGATAACTGAGTTAAAGCATCACTGATGAACATAATGCTGTAAATAGTAACAGAGTGTGGGGAGAAATTTTAACAGAACAAAAAAAAAAAAAAAAGTCCGTATGAAAACAAAGAGACTCCAGCACTTTCTAACCACAGTTCCCAGAGTAATGTAATTCTAGCTGTCAAGCATAATATGATGAGGGGGAGGAGGGATTTTCTGAAGATCGGAGGGTTAGCTGGAAACAAACATAGGGTCCTGTGCAAGTGATGATTTTCATCTCTTATATTTGTTTACATTGTTCGAAAATGTCATCAAGTAGTCTTTTCTGCAGGAAGTCACTAGTGTCAGATGTTTACCCATTCTCGTAAATTCACTGCACTTCCTGATGAATAAGTCTTTCATATGTGGATAGGGACTTTCATGAAAAGTTGGATCCATCCTCCATCCAAGACTTCATTTCCCAGGGAGAAAGATGTATTCAAAAGTTAAAACTCGATTTTTAAGCCTTACTTATTAAAATAAAATTTTCAAGATCAAAAGAATTTTTTGCTCAAATTATGTTCTAGTTAAATAAAAGAAGTACCAGAGCCTTCTTATGCAGGGCTTCCATGCCCTCCAGCTAAAACTGCAATTTATCTTAAAAATTAAGAACTGAGCTCCATCACAATTTAAACTCTGGGTCGACTGCTATACTAAAATGCTGAAATTTACATATGAAGGATCATAATCTTCAGTCGCAGTGTTGAAAGTGTCCCAAAGAAGTGAAAGGTTGACTGGGGGGGGATACCATGCACATACCTGGGTTGCTATATAGATACTAATATTTTTGGTGACATAATGCATTGCCAAATACCTTTAGTTAACAGGTGCATTATCCCATCAACATTTTTTTTTCGGCATTTCATTGGGGATGCAAATAATCAGAAA